ATTCTATGGCATTGTGGGTTTAGGGTGATAAATTTTGTATGAAATGCTATATATGAGGTAATTTCATAATATACTGTGCGTACGTATTCCGTTAAAACCGCCGATTTTTTTTTTTTTTTTTGTGTATCATAAATATACATTTCCTTATCACACACACAATGCATCACGACCCTTTGCTATCCAAACAGAAAACACAAAGGTGTTAGGTGAGTCGAAACAAGGTGTCCATCCGATAAAGATTGTTGCAATTTGGAGTCAAGAAAATAAGTAAGAGGTCTAGAAGGAACCTCACAAAGGATATATTGGTTTATCGTGGTAAACAAAAGCAAGCAATCGAATAATACTAAGATTATTTTCCTACAGCAATTGTTTGTCTACCATCATCGAGATCAAAGGAAATTTCATGCACACATACATCAATCTAAGATGGCGTGATATACGTAAGTTGTCATTAGACCTGGAGTCGTCGCCTAATCGTTGAGCTATTTTGCCGGTGGTGTGACATGGGAGCTTTATTCGTGGCAAACACACGTCGATGTCTATCCAAGAAGAAGAAAGTTCGTCCGCAAGAATTGCTCTCGCTCGCTCACCTGGTTGTCTCTTATTCCGCGTGCTCCATGATCAATTGACAAGCTCCCTTTTGGGTGATAAGGTTTAATCCAGTATATCCCTTCGTTGCTGATTGCGAGGCACATGTCCTAAATGCTAGTCGACATTCGAAGGAAATGCACGCGTGACCTCCGACACGAGCGGGTGTCATGCATCATCGAGGCCCCTTGGATCTCGGGTGAATGATCCCAAATCTGCGTAGGGCGCTCCGTGCGACCATCCTACGCGCAAGTTATTGACACACAAATTTCATTTCGGGTTGTCGCATCGTGCTCGCTCGTTCGCTCGCTCGGATGGGTTTTTATGCTACATCTATTTCCAACGTTTTGTCTTTCATTTACTTGTTTAGTTGATTTATCCATTTTTGCTCTTCATTCATTCATTTATTTATTTATTTATTTATTTATTTATTCATTTATTTATTTATTTATTTATTTAATAATAATAATAATAATAATAATAATAATAATAACAATTGCTAATAATAACATTACTATCGCAAAGAAAATCCGTCTTTACTCTAAAAAGCGAATATTTAATAATTCCATGTAACCGGACGCAAGACTCTAACTCCTAATAGCAAAGAGCATCGATTATGGACAAAGGTCAAATACGAAAAGTTGACGGAGGATAAAAATTTCCCTTATTCTATAACTCGAGTCGCACAGCTCGCTGAGACAGTGTTTTAAACGAATTCCGTAATTGCGCCACCTAAAAGTTTATCAAGATCTTGTTACAATGAGATCATGCTAGGAAGCGGTAACAAAAGATGATCATTTGATCTCATCATGTCCGGAAAAATTAGAGGCCGAGAAATCTGATCGTAACTCAACCACAATCAGGACATGCGGGAAAACGTACGGCGCGTGCATGCTCTAGAATCTCAACAATCGACCTTTCACATTACCATCATACTCTCTCACACGTAACATCATCATCATGAAAAAGAAGGGATGTGCTGTATTTGAAATGTTTAATTACAGTAAATGAGTATTGATCGGTATGACAAAGTTCTGCGAAACCATTCTTACTGTCAACGACCGGTCGTCACTGAATGGACCCAATTAAGGAAATTTTTTTCAACACCGGTGAACATTACACAAACAAACAGTAGCAGCGGTCGCCGATGAAATTCAAAAATTCGATCTGTTGATACTTTCATGACCAAAATTATCCAAGATAAGATTGTTCTGCCAGTTGTGTGAAAAAAATTCCACAACGATTGGAAATTCGGATGGATGCATGGCGACATTTAATTATCTGGGATAATTGGTTCGATGATTAATAGTAGCTCAAGAGAAATCACACACATGCACACTTATTTATATACTGTAAATTAGAGATTTTCTTATTGTGCATTTTTGTTACTCAATGGTGTATGCGCATGCATCGATTGGCGACCATCCGACGTGAAAGCACCCAGAGACTCAGTACCTGCACAAATCAAGATTTCACAAGTAGGGTAGCTGTGAGAGGAATACAATGCGACTGTGTGCGAATGATGGAATTGTTTGGTGTGCCATATGCGTTTCACCGAACACTCATTTTGCGCTACGTGGTATTTCAAGGGTTATTATTGTTAATAAAGTTGTCGATCCGACCATCCGAAAACCTCGTGGAGGCGGGAAGTATGGATTCTTCTCAGATGAGGCCTTGTGACAACAATTTCTCGTGCACCCTGTTACTTTACTATATTGCTTACTAAAAACACGCACACAAGATACAAGGTAAGAAGCTCGATTTGTGTATCTGCATGCTGTACATCATGGTTCTTTTTTTTTTTTTCTCCAGAGGGTACGGACTGACTACGGACGGCCGATGTGTACCAACGCAGACCTTAGCGAATTCTCATAAACACAAACATCAATGTTTGCAAAAAAAGACAATCGCGCGCACTTGCATATGCCATATACGTACCACACACGTCTGAGTTAATTTTGAGCGCATGAAGGAGAATCCGTACGTTTGACACGAAATGAGGGAGGCTTATCGGCTCCGATTAGGGTGGTCCGGTCGTAAATCAAATATCTGGATTACTTTGTGTGGCGCAACTCTCAGACTACCGAGAATGTTATCACCCGTGAGAACCAAGAGATGATTTTATTTAAGCTGACAAACGACGATGGTGGTAATACTGAGGTTAGCTGATCGGAAATACTGTACCTCGTTAATTTGAATTTCTCGATCCGTGATTTAAGTAATTTAAGTCATGAATTCAACGCATTTTCGCGACTTCAATACCTTTTTATCCAATCTGTGGCTGTGCCGAATGCATAAATTGGTGACCCAATTTAAAATTCTATTGAAAAAGAAAATAAACAAAAAAAGTGTTTTAAAAAAGAAAAAAAGAGAACAAGTAAAAGCCATGCATTTAATGTTTGTCAAAAAATAAAATAAAATAAAATAAAATAAAATAAACGCCAGATATTCACGGATCTCGACAATTTTCCTGGGTTAGCACATTAACAATTTTCTACCAAATAATATTAAAATCTCAAGGGGCTTATCTCCCCAGAGAGTTTCGTTGACTTGATAATAGAAGCACGTAATAGGATTCACCGTTTTCTTTCTTCCTTCCTTTTTGAAAGTTTATCCCTTTCGCAAGACTTCATTGAAGCAAATGAATCACTTGATGACTCTAATAAGTATTAAATGCACGTCCTCTAGCAAAAGAGATATTCCGTGTACTTGTTCATCTAAAAAAAATCCTCCGCGTAGACATCAATCAATCCAAGAATGATAATCGACTTTCGGATATGCAAGGATCATCTGGCACCTTTGTTCAACACAAAAAATATCGCCTGAAAGTGAATTGATCCGTATGTACCCCTTGCCAATGTGATAGACTGGAGGAAAAAAATAATAATAATAAAACATGGATCCTCGGGCATATCAATAATAGAGTGAATAGGCGCTACTTTCCTGTCGTTTCTATGTGGTAGTACATGACAGGTGATCACGACCGGAGCGCGCGGGTGATTGTTTTTTTTTTTTTTTTAACGATAAGAATGACCAACCTGGATTTGGCTACCGTGCAAACACCGATTTCGTAAAAAAAAAAAAGAAAAAAGGAAAATTCGAAAATGGTGATTTGTCATGCCATTGGCACTTTATGGACGATCCTGCATTATTCAGGCATCTTCAGCAATCAACGGATGCGTGTAATCGGCGTGAGTATGAAGAGACACACAATTCTCTTGGAAAAATCCGGAGGTGAGATATCAGACATGTCACGCTCTCGATTTCTGCGTGGTGAGAGGAGGGTGGTGAAGAGGAGGGTGGTGAAAAGGAAGGGAGGGAGGGGAGGGAGGGAGACGAGGCACTTGTCATCTTAGGCACATTCTTGCATGACACATGTTATGCAAGTGAACGATAACAAGGCAATCTGTCGTTGCCAATCAAGTGATCTGAATGATGCAATTTTTTACTGTAACAAAAAGACCAATACTTGCATTAAGCGTTCACCCTATAATAAACGTCGTGCATGCATAGAGCTTTGAAAGTCGTTACAC